TAGAGACAAGGTCTCACTATGTTGTCCAGGAAGGTCTCAAACCCCTCCGCTCAAGCAATCCTCCTGTCTTGGCCTCCCAAAGTGGTAGGATTACAGGCGTGAGTCACTGCACCCAGCCCCCATTTCTTTTTCAGTGTTTTCCTGACTATTTTTGTACTCTTGGCACTCGTGCACGTGCTCTTTCTCTCTGTCTCTCTCTCTCTCTCTCTCTCTCTCTCTCATGTGAACTTTATAATTAGCTTATTTAGATCCGGGGGGGAGAAACTTCTACTTTTTTTAAGGATTACATTAAATTTATAAAATTTACTTGTGGTGAGTTTTCTTGTTTCAGAGATGGTTTTCTTGGTATTTATTTCTGTTTGTCTTATTTTCTTTTGCTATAATTGAATACCATGAACTGACTTGAGGTGTTCAGTGCTATAGATGTGATTTTCCTTGGTCCTTCTGGTTCCTGGCTCATAACTCTCACAGACCTCGTTACAACCTTTTGTTACAATGTTGGGTGAGTTAGGCCCAGGGGCAGGCCTTAGGACACAGACTCTCTCTGTCTTTTTCCTGCCCTACTTTTACCTGCCCCAAGGCAGGATTCTCATCTTTCCTGCCTTCTGATTGTGAGTCTTAAAACCCTCCCCAGAGAGGGTCCCACCCTGCATCTTCGGGGAAGGAATGCTGAGGTCATGAGGCATGCAGGAAACTTCCAGATGATAGCTGAACACATGAAGGTTCTTGGAGGGTGGCACACCCCAGGAGGGCAGAGATCCTCTGCACCCCTGCCCCCACATCTCACCCTACACCTCTTTTCATCTATATCCTTATAATAAACTGGCAAATTGTGCTTCCCTGAGTTTTGTAAGCCTCTGCGGCAAATTAGTAGAACCCAAAGAAGGGGATCATGGGAACCCCAGCTTGAACTTGCAACTGGACTTGTGACGGGTGTTTGGGGCAGGGTAGTCTTGGGGACTGAGCCCTCACCCTGTGGAATCTAGTGCTATCTCCAGGTAAGTGTTGTCAGGACTGAATTGGAGGACACCGGGTGGTATCTGCTGCTTGGTGGTTTGGAGAAGCCTTCACATTTGATCACAGAAGTCTTCTGTGATGATTACTGCGATGTGAGAGCAGAGGAAAAAACACGCTTTGGGAGAGTTTTCTTTTAAAATATTTTCTTTTTTAATTTTTTAATTAAAAATTTTTTTTTTTGTAGAGACAAGTTCTCACTGTGTTGCCCAGGCCAGTCTCAAACTCCTGGGCTTCAGTGATCCTCCCATCACAGTCTCCCAAAATGCTGGGATTACAGGCATGAGCTACTGTGCCTGGCCTAGAATTTTATTTCTTACAGTTCTGAAGGCAGGGAAGTCCAAGGTAGAGGGCTTCATCTGGTGAAGGCCTTCTTGCTGGTGGGGACTGCAGAGTCTTGAGATGGTGCTAGATATCATGGTGAGGGAGCTCATGAGAGATGGCCAAATGGTTTTTATGACAGACCCACTCCTGATAACTGACCCAGTCCCTTAATAGCCCATTAATTCATGAATGGATGAATCCTCATGACCTAATCACCTCCCCGCAGTCCCCCCTCAATACCGCTGCATTGGGGACCAAGTTTCCAACACATGAGCTTTTGGGGAATGCATTCAAACCAAAGCACTATAGAAATCTACTTTGGTGTCTTTAAGGTATATTTAAAGTTTCTCTCATATAGGGTTTCACATTTTTGCCTTGGGACTTTATCTTTTTGTTGCTGTTAGAAATGGGTCATCTCTTCCATTCTATCTTCTAACTGAATGCATATACAAAGACCACTGATCTCTGTGTGTTACTTTAAATCCTGCTGTTTCCCTGAATTATATTAGTGTTTGTAACATTACTTTCTTGTGCCAGAAATACATCCAAGGATTTGATCCAAGAAGCGTATGACAAGAAGCCTGGGCAGGTGAGATGGTCTTGCTTGGTAGCTTCACTCTCCCCTCCTTCCTCCACCCCTTTCTCCTGCTGACTTCCTTCCCTCCCTCCCATCTGCTGTCCACCAGGCAGAAATTGCAAGACTGCCCCAGCCAGTGGTTTTGCTCTGAGCCAGACTTCACACAGCCATGAGACCTCTGGGTTCCCCTCTTCATGTTTCCTGGGGCTAGGAGCATGATAGGGGCAGGAAGGGCTTTGAAAGAGGCACTCCAGAGAGGGACCCAGGAGAGCAACAGAGGGGCCTGGAGGAAGGGGAAGGGAAGGGTGGGGTGAAGACGGTGCACAGGGGGACCTCACCTTCTAGCTTCAGGAGGCTGGACAGGAGATTTTAGCTCAACTCTGTGTTGTACCAAAGGGGAAACTGAGACTGAGTGAGGACATGTGTTCACCTTTCATCACCGAGTGTTCTGTGGCCTAAGCTGGAGTCAAACAGATTTTGGGAGGAGAATGTTCCTGCATCAGAAGGCAGGAGGTATGGGGCCTGCCTTGGACCAGTGAGTCTGGCCCAAAGGGAGGGATGGGCATACAGGAGCCCAACGTGAAAGGGATGAAAATGGACTGGACTGATTTGGGGTTGGGGGTTGGAGAGCTGGGCCGTGGAGCAATCTGGCATTTGTTTCCGGAGCACCGGAATGCTCTGGTATGGTACATGGTAGCAGAAGACAGCCTCCACTGAAGGAGTTAGGATAATCCCATTTGGAGATTTTGGAAACATCCACATTTCACATTTTGTCATGTTGGATTCAGTCACCAGTGTCCACAGTAAGGCCTGTGCAAGGCCACAAGGGAAACGGGGTAGTCCACCAGCCCTGCTCTCAAGGGGCCTCATCCAAAAGGGGCAGATGTTCACAGCTGAGGGAAAGGTCAGTGGTTGTGGGATTTCCCACATGGCTTGTTGGCCAGCAGCACCACAGAACGCATGAACTGCAAACTTCAGCCCGGCGTACCTGAACCAGAATTCCAGGGCATGAGCCTGGTGCTCTCTGTAGGGTACCTCTCTGCTATGGGTCAAGAGAGGCTTGGGTGCCGGCATTAGTGCTAGATCCAGAGGGATGATGAGATTGGCCTGGGGAAGAAGGGGAGGAGGGGGAAGAGGGCTGTGAGGGAACAGTGAGAAGGAGGGCGATGGGGAGGAAAGCTGTAGGAAAGCTGCTGGGGAAAGAAGAGGCCTACAGGGAGGTGGGTAGAGAGCTGGTGGGGGGGAAGGTGGAACAAGGCTGCTGGGGAAGGGGAAGGAGCAAGAGGAGTGGGGCTGCTGGGAGGACAAATCCACTCTAGCATTCCAATCTCCCTAAGCCTCTGAATCCCTTCTACATTACACCAAGGGAGATCAGGCATTTCCAGTTCTCCTACGTGGGCCACATTTTAGCCCACGTTTCAACCAACCAAACAGCCCTTTCTAACTCCTTTCTGGCAGCTGTAACATTAAATACAAAATCTCTTTTTAGTGAGCCCATATCAATAAATTCAGCCTGACCCAACTTTATGTTCCTCCTACCATTCTCCCACGATGTCGATATGCATTCCAACATATTTCTGGGATATCTGTGTTCATTGGAACACTCATGTTCTCCCTGAGTATAGCCTAACTCTTCACCTCTAGGGGCCTGCCTGAATTTGAGTCTAGTTATATGGTGGGGTGAGTCCTGAAGAGAATCAGCTTGGTCTTGCTTGGCTACTGCCTTAGGGGAGGCCATTAGCCTTTTCCTCAGACAATGCGGGGTTAATCCCCTAATACGGTGGTGGAAAGGCCAGTCCATATCACTAGAGGTGGGGTGGCCACTTCCACTGATAAAGACTCAGCAAAATTTAGGGGCTCAATGTCTCCACTACGTCAGGGTCTTCCCACACATCCTCCTTCCAACTTTCAGGGTCCCATTTTGTCCCAATTAAAGGCTCACTTTCACAGTAGACACCCCATGAGGCTGGGAGTTCAACTTGTGTTGTCACCCAGGCACCTGAAGGATGAGATTCTGGATTTGATTTCCAGTAGTCCCAGCCCTGCAGCTAAAGGAGATGAGTTTCTCCTGGGGCAGACCCAACAATTTTCAGATTACTTATGTGGTGCCGCAACTGGGGATTTGAATCCCTGAGTTTACTCTTTTCTTTTCCCATTTTGTCCAGTACAATTAGGAGCAACCAGGTGATCCCATTATTTTTTTTTTTTTTGAGTTGGGTGTCTCACTCTGTTGCCTAGGCTGTAGTGCAGTGGCACTACCACAGCTCACCACAGCCTTGACCTCCTTGGCTTAGGCTATCCTTCCACCAGTCTCGAGTAGTTGGAACTACAGGCACACACCACCACACCCAGTTAATTTTTAAAATTTTTTTGTAGAGACTAGGTCTCACTATGTTGCCTAGGACTGGTCTCAAGCAATCTTCCTGGTTCAGCCTCCCAAAGTGCTGAAATTACAAGCATGAGCCGCTGCAGCTGGCCCATTACACTCTAGTTTGACTAAAATGTTCTAAAGTCACCCAGAACCTTGCTTTTTTTTGTTTTGTTTTTGAGTCGGAGTCTCACTCTGTCACCCAGGCTGGAGTTCAGTGGCATGCTCACGGCCACTGCAGCCTCTAACTGCTGGGCTCAGGTGATCCTTCTACCTCAGCCTTTCAAGTAGCTGCAGCTACAGGCACATGCCACCACGCCCAGCTGACTTTTTTATTTATTGTAGAGATGAGGTCTTGCCAAGTTACCCAGGCTAGTCTCAAACCCATGGACTCAATCCGCTTGCCTTGGCCTCCCAAAGTGCTGGGATTACAGGTGTGAACCACTATACCTAGCCAGAACCTTGCTCTCTACTTAAGTATTTAATTAGGAGCATCAATGGCTATACTTTGAGTATCTCTATTGCCACACCACACCACGGATTATCAGTGCTCTTTTTGCTATTGAAAATAGGCATTAGTGTCTGTAATCAGACTAGAGAACCAATTATAGAAACCCTCCCATCACCACCCCTCCAATTACTGTCAAGCAAATTCTCCACGCCTTTTACCACTTCATAGGTAGAGGCTATTTCACACAGTAAGAGTGACACTTTGTCTAAAATGAAAGCGATAGTTTGGAGATGTTTATTGCCACCCTCTACCCCCATGGGACTTGAACACTGCTTGATTCTGGGACTGGCTTTCTGTAGGGGCCCTCCCAACTGAGAACTCCCCAAGTGTGTGGCTTTTGGAGGGTAGGCTGTTAGGCCAGCCCTGACTCCAGAGAAAGTATCACCGCACCCAGCCTGTGCGTGTCTTTTGAGTGCCATGCTGCACCAGGCTGGGACAGGGCTACCAGGGGCTCCAGGAAGGATGTCTCGTGTGCTCTGACCAGGGAACTGTGGGCATCAAGGAAGGCTGTGGGTGGCTCAGGGCCTCAAGTGCACCCTGCAGGGATGGATTTCTTGGTCTGAGTTTTTAGGGGATCTTGTCGGGCACATCCCCATGTAGTCATATCGATGGGGTCACCTCACCCTCCATTGATGTGAAACATTACTGGGATCCAACTTCTGCAGACTTCCTTCTCATCCATAGGATTTCTCATTTATTGGTCAGGTGTGCTGGCCTGGTCCCTACATACAAGGACCCTGTCACAAGTGGGGGACAAACTTTCCCTCCAGAAATGGATTAAGCAATCAGTACATGAGCCTTATGCTGTTTTGGAGGTAGCAAGTCCCCATGGCTCCCTCAGCTTTGGCCAGGACAGTCAGTCACCTTCAGATGGAATGTGCAGGACCATGAGGACACATGTCCTGATAGTCCCTCTTCCTTCAATGGGACCGGGGGCATCAAATGAGAGCATACTGTTCCCTTCCTTTGGGGCCTAGGAGTTGACCCTGACTTCCAGGCCCCAGAAAGAAAAGGGAAGACACAGGGGTTCCAAGAGGAGGGGACAAGGGGGAAGGGTCACAGGCTGGCCCTGAAGTCCTGCTCCAGGCTCAGGGAAGCCCCTCCCTGCTCACCCCTTCCAGAGGGCCTGGGTCTGCAGAGGATTGGGGTTCAGGGCTCCTAGGGTTGGCATGCTCCCGGCTTGGGTGGGGAGGAGGGAGATGCTTTCAGGTGCTGAGGGCCTCCTGTGTCGGGCCCAGAGGGCCAATGCCCAGGTGGGCAGTTCATCTCTCTGGCAACAGCACAAAGAAGGCAGCCTTCAGGAAGCGGCCAAAGCTGCAGAGTGCAGCCACCAGCCAGTGGGAGCGGAGGCCAGGGTCCGTGCTGACCACACACTTGAGGACGTCGGTCTGAGAGGGAAGAAGGGATGGTTAGAGAACATAGCCTAGAACACTAGGACCCCAGCACTTTGCACCAGAATATCAGCCAAATCGCGCGAGGGAAACACAAGGCTGTGGAGGGAAGGAGGATTGAGTCTTGTCTGGGCTGAAGGCTCCAGCATGGGATCAGACCCAGCCATGAGGATTCGGACAGCATGAAGGACAAGGAGACACCCAAATTGGAGACAGGAGGTATTCAGGCCAGGCTAGGCAAAAGGCCCTGCCGAGCAGGAAAGAGGTCTGTGTGCCCTACACCAGGACCCACAGACACCCAGAGCTGGGTGTTGGTTCCCCTCAGCCACCTGCCTGCTGTCCCAGAGGGGCTACAAATACCCCAGCATCCTCTTATGAGACCCTTGGAGCCTGGCCTGCCAGGAAGGGACAGACTCAGCTTCAGACTCTCCCTTGGAACAAGAGCAGGAACTGAGCTTTCCAGAAGTCCAAGGAGCACCTGAACACCTGAAGTCCCTTCTGAAATAATGGATGTATGTCCCCTCCTTATTTTATTTCTTCTGCTAAGAAATGAAGTCTTTTCCCTGCAGCCTGGATCAAAGTGTCCCTGCCCACTGGCCGGTCCTCCATGCTTGGAGCCCAGCAGCATTTGTGGCTTGGCTAGGGCGGGGTGGGCAATCAGAGGCATGAAGACAGCGAAAGGAATTGATTCTGACATGCTGACACCTGCCCCTTCAGACCTTGCTTTTCCCCCTCTGGGGTGAGCAGGGGCTTGGGGGCAGCAGGTATTTATGACAGGGGTCGGGGGAAGGAGTCGGGGGTCAGGGGACAAAGTGCTGGATCTGGGCAGAAGAGCGAGCCAGCCTGCCTGTGGGCCTCAGAGCCCCTGGCCCCACAACCTCTGCCCTCTGTCCCCTCCACTCTCCCTCCCTGCACTCAGGTGCTCACCCATCCACCACGCCTCCTCAGCCAAGTCGCCAGGGTCTTGCGCACAAATTCTCCCAGGCAGTCGACGAGGGCGTGGACCATGGCGGGCTGGGCCTGCCTCACGCAGTCTACAGCCAGTCCTGCAGCCACCGCGTACAGAGATACCACCTTGCCCCATGTGATACCTGCAGGGAAAAAGACGGTCAAGACCAGGGGAGTCCTGCCCACGGGAGAAATGAAGGGGCTGAGTTTCTCAGAACTGCTTTCCTGCTTGCCATCCAGCTGATGACCAGAGACAGTACCAAAGGGTCCAGGCCCCTCTCCACAGGACACCCAACCAGCTGACTATCTGCAGCTAGCCTGGCCATCATCTCTAATGGCTCAGTCTTGCCACTCTCCCCATCGTGGGTAGTTCTTAGGAGGGTTCTTCGCCTCCACTGCACACCTGCATGACTCAGGATGAAACCTGCCCAGCCCACATCTGTGGAGGAGGCCAGAGGGACAGCAGGGAGGAAACCAAGGGGTAGAGGGGGTGGGCTGACTTGGAGCTGGATAGAGTAAACAGTGAGCATCCCTGGCTTGTCTGTTCCCCTCAATGGGCCCATCATTCATGTATTACATAGAAAGAAACAGGCCTGCGGGAGGAACCACCTTCCCCAGAACCACTAACCTACCTTTCTACCTAGTAGGAAAAGACAGATGAGCTGCAGAAAGAACATTGGCAAATTAAGGATAGAATGTCTCCTTTAACATAAAAAGAGGTTTTACAAATCAATGAGAAAAGAGAGAAGGCTTTCAAAAGAAATCTGAGCACAGAATAAACAGCTTATTCACAAAAGAAATACAAATAACAGACATATGACAAAATGTTGACCTTCACTAATAAAGAAAGGCAAATTAAAACAAGAGGCAGATTTCAATCTGTCATATTAAAAATTTTTTTGTTTTTATTTTTTATTTGGGGTCTCACTCTGTTGTCCTGGTGGAGTGCAGTGGTATAACCACAGTTCCCCACAGCCTTGACCGCCTGGGCTCAGATGAGCCTCCCTCCTTAGCCTTCCAAGTAGCTGGGACTACAGGTAGCACTGTGCCTAATTTTTTAAAGTTTTTGTAGAGACAAGTTCTCGCTATGTTGCCCAGACTGGTCTCAAACTCCTGGGTTCAAGCAATCCTCCCCACCTTGGCCTCCCAAAGTACCAGGATTACAGGTGCACACTACCACGCCTGGCCATTAAAAACTTTTTTTTTCCTGAGTCGGAGTCTCAGCCTTGACCACTGCCTTGACCTGTTGGGCTCTGGTGATCCTTCCATCTCAGCCTTTCACAGGCATGTGCCACCACGCCTGGCTAATTTTTTGGTTTATTGTAGAGATGAGGTCTCGCCATCTTGCTCAGGCTGGTCTTGAATCCCTCTCAAACTCCACTCTGCCTCCCAAAGTGCTGGGATTACAGGTTTGAGCCACCGGCCATTAAAAACTTTTAAATGGCTGTGTTAAGAACTCAGGTAACTTCACAGTCTTGTAAACTTTGATGGGAAGCTCAACTGGAAGGCATCTGGCAATATCTGAGAGGCCACTAAACATGCATGCCCAGTAACGGTCCTTGCAGGAAGTTAGTCTGAGGAAGCAGTATAGGCAAAGATTAAGCACTCCTCCTCAATCTCTTCTCCTAGCAGCCACAAGGATCTTTTATGAAAACATAAGACAGCTCAAACAAATACCTGTTCACAATGTTCACAGCCAGCCATTCGCAATGGCCAAAAGGTGGAAACAACCCAAATGCCCATCAGCAGATGAATGGAAAAACAAAATGTGGTCCAGCCACACAATGGAGTATTATTCAATCATAGAAAGGAAAGAATTTCCAACAAAGGCTATAACATAGATGAACCTCAAAAACATGGTGCGGGAAAAAAGCCAGACACAGAAGGCCAAATATGTTGTATGAGTGCACTTCCATGAAATGCCCAGAACAGAGACAGAAAGCAGGTTAGTGGTTGCCAGGGAGGAGAGGTGGGGAATTAGGAGTGATGGCTAAGGGGACAGGGTGTTATGGGGTAATGAACTCTTCAAACTAGAGAGAGCTGGTGGTTGCACAGCACTGTGAATGCAGCAATGAACTGTACACTTTTAAATGGTTCACTGCATGTTACATGAATTTCACCTCAATAAAAAGAAATGGCACCGGGCGTGGTGGCTCACTCTTATAATCCCAGCACTTTCAGAGGTGGAGGAAAAATGATTGCTTGAGCCCAGGGGTTTGAGACCAGCCTGGGCAATTTGGCAAGCCCTCGTCTCTACAATAAATCAAAAAATTAGCTGGGTGTGGTGGCACACAGCTCGTCTGTAGTTCCAGTTATGTGGAAGGCTGAGGCGGAAGGATCACCTGAGCCCAGCAGGTCGAGGCTGCAGTGATGTGAGTGTGCCACTGCACTCCAGCCTAAATTTTTATTATTATTAAATAAAAATAAAAATTTTAAAATAAAAAGAAATGGGAAGAAAACTGCAATCAGGTCAGCCACAGTGGCTTTGGAAGGGCAAGGTGAAAGGATCACTTGAGGCCAGGAGTTCAACACTAGAATGGGCAACATAGCAAGACCCAGTCTCTACAAAGAAAATTTTTAAAAAAAGACAGATGTGGTGGCATATGCCTAGAGTCCCAGCTACTTGGGAGGCTGAGGTGGGAGGATTGCTTGAACCCAGGAGTTCAAGGTAACAGTGAGGTATGATGGCACCACTGCACTCCTGGCTGGGCATTAAAAAAGATTTTTCTTCAGACCATGTCATTCCCCCTGCTTAAACTCTCCCGTTGCTGTTACTTTCCATCTCTTTCAAAATAAATTCATGCCTGAAATCCCAGCTGAGCTGGCCTCTGGCCCATTTCCAACACCCTGGTGTTCTTGTCATTGCTCAGAAACACACACCTGGCACCGCCCTGGGGCTGTGTCTGATGCACTTCCCCACCCAAAGGGTTCTGTTCCAGGCTCCTTCTTCCTAGGGCCATGTGGGGAGTGGAGGGTTAATGTGGATGGGGCTGAGGAGCCTGATGTCAGGACTAGCGCCAGAGAATCTGCCCTCTGCAGAACTTTCAGAACAACGCCTCCTTCTGAGGTATCTTGTCCCATCCCAGCAGAGGACAGTGTGTTCTCAGTGATGGCCACATTTCATCTCTGGAGAAAGAAAGGAAAACAGGGTTCTGCAGGTGCCACCAGGATGGTCTCCAGGGGGTAGAACAAGTATCTCGTCTTCTTTGAGCTCGTCTGTGTTATCTTTCTTTTTTTACTGACAGATGACTCCATCACCATAATCTTTTTTTTTTTGAGTTGGAGTCTCATCCTGTCACCCAGGCTGGAGTGCAGTGGCACACTCAACGGCCACCCCAGTGTCGACCTGCTGGGCTCCGTTGATCCTTCCGCCTCAGCCTTCCAAGTAGCCGGAACTACAAGCGTGCGCTACCATGTCCGGCTAGTTTTTTATTTATCATAGAGACAATGTCTCGTCAAGTTGCCTGAGCTGGTCTTGAACCCACGGGCTCAGGCAATCCACTTGCCTCGGCCTCCCAAGTGCTAGGATTACAGGCTGAGCCACCAAGCCTGGCCCATAAATCTTTTTAAAATGGGATGTTTTCAGCATATTCACAAAGTTGTGCAACCATCACCTCTATCTAATTCCAGAACTTTCTCTTTTCTGTTTCCCAGTGGCACAATCACAGCTCACCACAGCCTTAACCTCTTGAGCTCAGGTGATGCTTCCACCTCAGCCCCCCCAAGTAGCTGGTACTACAGACATAAGCCACCACGCTCGGCTAATTTTTTTATTTATAGAGACAAGGTCTCACTATGTTGCCCAGACTGGTCTTGAACTCCTGGGCTCATTGCCTCGGCCTCCCAAAGTGCTGAGAATACAAGCATGAGTCTCAGTGCCCAGCCTAATCCCAGAAACATTTTCATTGCACCCAGAAGAAACTGCATTAAAAGTCACTCTCTGTTTCCCTAAAGCCCCTGGCAACCACTAATCTGCTTTCTGTCTCTATAGATTTACCCATTCTGAATTATTTCATATAAATGAAATCACAAAGTATGTTCCATTTATACCTGGCATATTTCACTGAGCAAGTTTTCAAGCTTCATCTACACTGTAGCATATATCAGTACTTCATTCCTTTTCATAGCTGAATAATATTCCATAGTATGGATAGTCTACATTTTGTTTATCCATTTGTCAATGGCCTTTAGCCAATAACCTTTTGGCTATTATGAATAATGCTGCTGTGAACACTAGCATGCGAGTTTTCGTGTGGATGTATGTTTTCACTTCTCTTGGGCACATAGCTAGGAGTAGATTTGCTGGGTCATATGGTTAAACCCCATGTTGAACCATCTGAGGAAGGCCCAGACTTTTTTTCTGAGTTGGAGTCTCACTCCATCACCCAGGCCAGAGTGCAGTGGCACACTCACTGCCACCCCAGCATCGACTTGCTGGGCTCCGCAGCAATCCTTCCACCTCAGCCTTCCAAGTAGCCAGAACTACAGTGTGTGCTACCACGCCTGGATAGTTTTTGATTTACCGTAGAGACCTCAGATCTTGCCAGGTTGCCCAGGCTGGTCTCAAACCCATGGGCTCAGGCAATTCACTCACCTCGGCCTCCCAAAGTACTGGGATTACAGGCTGAGCCACCGAGCCCAGACCAGACTGTTTTTCAAAGCAGGTGCACCATTTTACATTCCCACCAACAGTGTATAAGGGTTCTGATCTAACCACTTCTTCAGTAACACTTGTGGTTATCTGACTTTCTGATTCTAGCCATCCTAATAGGCATGAAGTAGGCTGTTTGTTTATTTTGGAGACAGGGTCTTACTCTGCTGTAACCTCAAACTCCTGAGCTCAAGCAGTCCTCCTGCCTCAACCTCCTGAGTAGCTGGGATTACTGCAGGGAAGTGAGTTTGATTTGCTTTTTTTTTCTGAGTCAGAGTTTCACTCCATCACCCAGGCTGGAGTGCAGTGGAATGCTCATGGCCATCCCAGTGTCAACCTGCTGGGCTCTGGCAATCCTTCTGTTTCAACCTTCCAAGTAGCTAGAACTACAGGCGCATACTACCACGCCCAGCTAATTTTTTGATTTATTGTAGAGACAAGGTCTTGCCAAGTTGCCCAGGCTGGTCTGGAACCTGCAGGCTCAGGGAATCCACTCGCCTCAGCCTCCCAAAGTGCTGGGATTACAGGCTGAGCCACCTAGCCTGGCTGATTTGCATTTCTATAGTGACCGATGATGTTGAACGTCTTTTCCTGTGTTACTTGGTCATTTAGACACCCTCCTTGGAGAAATGTCTATTCCAATCCTGTGCCCATCTTTCAATTGGATTGTCTCAGAGTTATTTACTTATTTCTTCAGTATTTTATTATTTTTCTGTGGTAAAATATTTTGCTCTTATAAGAAAAAAAATGAAAACTATTGCCAACACTTAATCAAGAAAGAAAAAACAAGTTTTTCCACTGGCAGATACTTTGAAGCCCAAAGTGAAGACAACAACAGTTGCCTCTGCCTTGGCTGAGGGCTCAGTTGTTCAGCCACCTGGGGCTGGAGACTTGGAGGCCACCTTGAAGCCCTGCCCTGCCGCCCCCAAGCTACCCACATCACCAGCCATAGCCCCGGTTCCGAGGAGGCACAGGCTGTGCCACTTCCCTACAGTACAGAGCCCGCATGCCCAGGGGTGCTTGCCAAGAGGAAGAGGGGGAGAAGATCCAGAGGGTCACTGTGCATGACTGGCTGGTGTGGGAGGAGCCTTTCAGCCCAAAGACAGGTGAGGTGCGGGAGGGGCAGCCACAAGCTGGTCTGTGGGGGACAGTCTGGGAGCCAGCGAGGGCTGAAGAGGGCAGTCCTGTGACCCCATTCTCCCAGGGGCCTTGCTCTTGCTCCTAATTCAGGTGACTTTGAAGTTCAGAGATGTTAAGAAATCAGTTGGAGGTCACACAGCCCATGAGGGCACTGCTGCCTTGGGCCTAGAGTGGCAAAAGGGCCCGGTGAGGGTGTGGAGGTTGCCACAAGAGATGCAGAGGCTTGCATGGGACAAGCCAGCCGGCGCCAGGTAGGATGGGGGATGCTGACCACGGGATAGTCTGGGATCCACTCCAGTTTTCCAGTGAAAACTGGTTAAACTAAACTCTACAAATGTCCCGTGCTGTTCATGCTGCATGTGCCCTTATCAACTGTGTGCCAGCTTCTTCCTACCATCACCTTCCTCCCCCGCCCCGCCAGGTGACCTCCCAGAACCAGAGACTTTCTGGGCACCTCCTCCACCACAGGCCAGGTGCAGCTCGGGCAAGGCTGGGCAGGCAGGGGGTGTCCTGGTTCCATCCTCTCTCCCTGCCACACTTGCCACCACCCAGGGCTTGGCCCCACCTCCTGGCTCCGTCACACCCACCGGCAGGCTGCTGCATTCTCAAAAATGCCTGTTCCTTTTAAAGCCAGGCTGAGGCTCATAAACCCAGAGGCCAACAGCCTGGAGACAGACATCTGGACGGCCACCCACGCTCCAGCGTCAGCCAAGGGAGGGCTGAGGGTGGTCGTCAGCCCAGGACGCCTGCTGCTCCCGACTTCCTTCCTGGGCCCTGCCGCTGCCCCTCCTCCTCCAGACACTGGCCAGGGTCCCTTTGAGGGGCCTGGCGCCTGACCAGTCAGCTCCTGCTGCTGTGCGCCCATCCCTGCCCCATTGCCCGCCCTGTGCCACAGCCTCTACCCCCGCCCCCGCAGGCCCACTCACCTGGCTCCTGAGCCACACCCACTCACCCACCAGCTCCCCCACCTGACCCAGATCTGTCCCACGATGCTCCTCATCCTGGTCTGGGCCTGCTGCCTCCCAGCGAAGCCTACACCGAGACCTCTTCCCCCAGCCCATCAGGCTGGCACATGGGGGTTTCCAAAGCCAACATGAACAAGTCAGATTGATTTATTTCTCCCAAAGGAACAGGAAGCAGTGACAGAGTCCAAACTCTGAGGAGCACTGGACAGGAAGTCCTGCCGCTACCCATACTGGATCTGCCTCCTTTCCCCCTGCCATGACCTGTGGTCACCTGCTCTCCTTCAGGTGTAGTGTCGGCCATTCCAGAGTCACAATAGTATGTGCTGCAGCAACGTGATAACCCCGGAATCCAGGACCAGACCTCATCTGGACTCCCTTCCCAGGACCCACCTTAGGGAGCCCTCCCTCTCCACCAGTCCCCCCAGTTCCTCTCCCCATTACATCCTAGCCCTGGTGACTTATGTCCAGTGAGGTCAGCAGTGACCAAGCAGTAGCACTGAGGGAGGCTGGATTCTGTCAGCCAACTACCCTTTGTCCCCTGCTGCCCCAGCCACCAGCCGAGGGGGCACTCCTGAATCAGGTCCTGCTGCATCCACAGGTGGCTCACCTGCCCACCAGGGTTTGATGAATCTCCTTGGGAGAGGACGCTGGAGGTCAACACACGGTCACCCCACAAGGGGTGGGGCCTATGGGGCTGGGGCCTGCCTCTGAGCACAATGCAGAGGTCTTTCCACTCTTGGCATTCTTTCCTGGTCTTCGGGGCGGGCAGAGGTCATTAGGCCAACTGAGGCCCCAGGCTCTGAGCGTTCCCCTTGAGGTGTGGGATGAATCTTCACAAGGCAGGGACTATGGTTTCCCCTGGCATCCTCTGCCCTGAAGCCCTGCTTCTGCTGTTGTCTGGATTGTCCTACAGGTGAGAAAACTGAGGCCGGAGAGGCAAGGGCATGGGAAGGGCATGCAGCTGATTAGTGACTGACTCAGACCAGCTCACAGAAAGGGAGGCTCAAGGCCTCCCTGCGGCGGGGGGGCCCGTAGTGGTCAGACGTCTTCCAGAAAGCCAGGGGGGATGTGGCCCCCTCCTGGCTGCAAGCTTCCGGGTGTTCCGTTGACCCATGGATCCCCTGGCCCAGAGTCTTGCTCATCACCTGGACAGTACTTGGAGAACGCCTGAGGGTTCTGCCACTGAAGGAGGTGCCCCCTCAGGGCAAGGGCTCCCTTCACCCCGACAGCAGCGCCCAGTGCTGGCCACAGACCAGGGGCAGACTCGGCGTGGGGTGCCAGGATGAGACCTGAAGGCAGAGAGCTGAGGTCTGTGGGGCCGGACCTGATGACATTGGACAAGCAGACAGAAGTCACACTGGGCAAAGCCAGGCCAGCTGAGGACAAGTGGACAACAGGGCACCTAGCAGGGTCCTGAGAGGGGGAGAGGGGTCCTGAGTTTGGAGGCGGGGTGCAGACAGGAAGCAGCAGGATCTGGGAGGCCAGGGGGCTGTCACCTGCTCCTGGGCCAGAGATGGGGGCACCCAGGAGGTTCCCAGATGAGTCAGGCACAGCTAAGTGAGATGGCCACTGTTCTCCAAAGATGCCCCAGACAGCCACTGTGCCTAGGCTTCATACTCTCATGCTGTCCTCTTCCCTTGATGTCAGCTGTTGAGGCTCACCTTTGACGAACAGAATTTGGCACGGTAACCTCTGACTTCTTTTTTTATTTTGAGTCAGTTTCACTCTGTCATCCAAGTTGAGTGCAGTGGCACACTCACGGCCACAGCAGCCTCGACCTGCCGGGCTTAGGTGATCATTCCACCTCAGCCTTTCAAGTCGCTGAAACTAGGCACACGCCACCACACCTAGCTAATTTTTTTTTTAATTTACTGTAGAGACGAGGTCTCACCAAGTCGCCCAGGCTGGTCTCGAACCCATGGGCTCAGGCAATCCTCTCACTTTGGCTTCCCAAAGTGCTGGAATTATAGGGGTGAGCCACCATGCCCAGCCATAACTTGTGACTTCCTTAAAGCCTGGCAGTGCCCACCCAGGTCATCTGGGATGGTCACTCTTGGACACACCCCCTTGGGACCCAGCACATGCTGTAGAAGCCCAACCCCCACAGGGCACATGCAGGAGCTCCAGCAGCAGGCGCATCCAGCCAACAGTCAGGGCTGGGAGCCCCAGGATGAGCCACCCCACAGGACTGCAGGTCACTGTGCCCCAGCCAATGCTCACGCCAACTGCCTAGCTTCCCACTGACCCTCAGAACCACAAGAGGCATCAAATGTTGCTGTTTGAGTCTGAATGTTCCAGGTTGGTGGCTCCATCTTGCAGCTACAGACACCCCCAGCAGCGAGCAGGCACCTGTGGACACCCGGCATCTCTGAGACTGGTGGGGCCATCTCATGGGGACCCTGTGAGCCTGATCCACAGACCCCAGCCCTTCTGAGGTCCCATGGAAGGATGGGTGAGGCCTACCTGCAGAGAAGATGTGGCCCGCCACAGCTAGGAATGCGTCAGTCACCACAGGCTCAGACTGCAGAGATATGTGCAACTGGCGTGCTACGTTGCGGTAGACACTGGGCCGGATCATCTCCAGCTCATCCCCTGTATGGTTACATGAACGGGTGAGCAGCAGCCCATACTCGCCCTGACCCCAGCATCACACACAGGCCTGAGGCCAGCCCATACTTTGGCCCCCATGGACACAGCTGGCTTGGGGACCCCACCCTGCACTTAACACGTTCTAATTCCCCACCCATTTCCTGCCCTGATCCCCGCTTAACCTGTGTGACTCCCACCCCCACTGGACCCACCTGACCTCACCTGATCTCCCTAACCTTGGGCCCTAGGGAAAAGGAGACCAGGAAGGTGCTGAGGTGCCCCCAGTCCGGCTGCTGTGACACAGCCCCTTCTGACAAGCCAGCCCCCCTGGGGACAAGCCTGCTGAGCCGGTGGGGCAGGAATGCTTCGATGAAGCGTAGGCTGTGCCTGCTGTGACTCACAGCCGACAGGCAGCAGGGCTGCCCAGGCAGCAGGAGGGACCAGGCAGGCTGCCAGAGCCCAACCTGGGGAGGGACTGAGCGGGGAGCCCCTCTTGGGTGGGCAGCCTACACTGCCTCAGAGGGCATCATGGCTCAGGCCCAGCATTGCTCAGGGGACAGCTCAGGGGAATGGATTTGGAGAGGCTAGGCTGTTGTCCTAGGTCACCGGCACCACCCATGCTCCCACCTGGGCTCCTGGCACCAAGCAGGAGTGTTGGATGTGGCCCCGAGTCAGCCCAGCCCTAGCAGGCCGAGGAAATGCCTCCCACAGGCCCGCCTGCCCGTGTGCTGGCTGCAATGCCCTTGGCAGCAACGCGCAAGTACCCGGCGATGGTGCCGGGAATTCTACACGGCCCTCGGATTGGGTGTCCCCAGTCCAGCCAGTTCTCCAGCCAAAGCAAACAGGGAAATGTTGCCGACTGGACCGTCCCAGCTGATAAGGGCGCCTGTCATCCCTGGGGCCAGCTGCTGTCCATCTCATTAATTAAGATCTGGAACCAGAGCAGAAGTGAGGAGAAGCCTGCCAGGGGTGGGGGGATGGCATGGAAATTCCCAGGGCTGGCCTGGTTGTTCCCACACACAGACCTCAGGGGCCACTGGGGGCTGGCCCCCAGAGACTGACTGTGGGGCTGCAACCTGGGTTTCTTCCTGTCTGTGGCTGCCTGAGGAACTGGGGGCAGGCTGGGGGGGAGGGAAGACAGTGCAGGCCTCAGGGGACTCACCCTGAACATCTGTGAGAGTAGAACAAAGCAAACAAGACAGAAATGGGAACGTCTGGGTGTCTGAGCTGTCTCCCTCTCTCTGGAGCCCCCTTAGCCATCTGGGACTTCCTCCCCGCAATCCTAGAGCCTTCTAGAATGCACTCCTGGGGTCATCCTCACTGCCCTACTGGAAGATACAAAATGCTACTAAACTGGCTCACTCTTGCCTCTCGCCATACCTAGAAACCTTCCTTCCATTCTCAGATGGAATACTATCTGCTTCTGGAAACTCTGTGGTGGCACCCATGAAATCTGTTTCCACCCCCACACACACTCCTGAGTGTTCCAGGTCTACACAGCCTTTCTCCCAGGGCCCAGCAAATGCAGGGGCCACACAAAACAGGGGCAAGCCCACACCTGTATCAGCCCAAGGATAGGCAAGGTGTCCCTTCTCACAGGGGCGCTCCCCGGACCCGATCATGAGCCAGCCTCTCCCCAGAGAGCTACCCATTCAGGGTTTCACCTCTGCTGTCACCTCCCTTCCTGGACCTTCCCACTCTTGGGTTTGGGTTTTTTTTCCTGGTGCCCTCTCCGGGTACCCAATACATATTCACAGGTGAAGGGCAGCAGCCCAGTAGTGGTGAGGGGAGGCTGAGCCGCTCTGTTTGGTTGGTTCCTCCCTTTCTGGAATCCAGACCTTGGAGAAGGTGGAGGTAGTTACTGGGCTGTGTGTGACCCTGGAAACAAGTACCCCCAGGAGGAAGGTCTTCACAGGAGGAGCTGTCTTGGTGAGATTTTAACCCCCTAGCAAAATGTGTGTGCAACTCCATAAGGGGGCCCAGAAGGCCTCCAAATCAAGAGGAGAGAGCAGGGCTGAATCCTCCAACTGGTGACCGAAAGGACCTATTTTCCAAAACAAACATCGGGACACGTGGTCCGACAAAGGATTTTGTGCCCAGTTGAGTACAAGGGTCACTGTGGGAGTTTAGCCACTAAAACATTATTCTTTCTGGAGTTTTCTATTGTTTATTATTCAGAATGTCTGAAATCCGGGCTGAGCAGGCGACTGGGGTGGGGGTGGGGGCCTGCGGTGTGTGAATTAACAAGCGGGGAACTTGAGAGGTTAGATAGGGGAACACGGGCTGGGCGGCGGATTCTAGGCACCCCAGGGACAGCCCCTTCTCTCTGCCTGGGAGGGAGACTGAGGCCCAGAGGAGGAAAGAGGCTGTCCCGGTCATCCGGCCGGCAGGGACAACGGCTTTCAGCTCCGAAGGGCAGCCCTGGGACCCCGCCCGCCGGGTTCCGCACTCACCCAAGCGCAGCAGCACGGCGCACACCTCT